GACCAGAAGGTGTTGTCGTTTGTCGCAAACAGAGTGCAGGTGCTCTCCAGTGTCAGAGTGACACCACCCGGAAACTGGAGCAGCAGCACCTCATGTTCAGCCTTGGGAGCCTACAGCCCGATGGTCTCAATGTGGACTTTACTAGTTTCAAAATCTCCCCACCTCCAGCTTCATCCCATGACCAACCCTCCCTCTCATCCCGCCTCCTTGACCAGACACAACCTGTCCATCTTCTCTCCCACCTATCTACTCCTCCCCCCTCACTGACCATTCCCCACCACTGCCTACCTGCTCTCACCTATCACCATCCCGCCTACCTTCCCCAGCCCCCCCCCCCCCCCCCTCCATCTTTTTAAGAGCTCCCTTCCCCTTCCCCCATTTCTGAAGATGGGTCCCGACCCGAAACGTCAGCTTTCATGCTCCTCTAATGTTGCCTGGCCTGCTGTGTTCCTCTAGCTCTACACTGTTATCTCTGACTCCAGCATCGGCAGTTCTTACTAACTTTGAGTTCTTGTCCATGCCTAATTACTCCGCAGAAGGTGATGATGAGCTTCTTTCTTGAACCTTTACAGCCTGTCTGAAAATGAAACTATTATACAGGATGTCCGCATAGATCGTAGATCACCACAAGAATCACCATGTTATCAAGCATTCTCCACATCAGGAGAAACGTTATGTTCCTCAATCCAGAGATGGATTTTGAAATGATGATTGCTAATTAAATTTTGAACTCATGAAATCTTCTCCAAGCAAATCCCAATATCTAAAATTAGTTTCCCTTTCAGACTATTTTAATCCATTAAATTGTTCCAAAAATAATCCAAGTTTAAACAAAAACTCAGAATAACACATCAATATTTTGCCTAGTATTAGGTTCTCATTGTAAAGGGACAGCCATAAAATCTTTCTTCATATCTGGAGTTAGTAAATATCCTACTTCAAGTAACATGAAGCACTGTACAGCGTGCTTCTGTTAGTGAAATTAAAGCCTTTCAGTGTCAAGGGAGAAACATCAAATGGCAAAGACAGAAAGGTGAATCAGAATTTCAATTTCCTAGTACAATTTAAAATGACTACTGACTGCCAATGAAAAATGATTGCCATTGCAAAGGTCTCATCTATAAAATGAAATCCTTATCTTATGAATAATGAGTACAAACTTTTGGAAGGTTCAGTTTATATGAAAGCACACCTTTCCTGATTTTTGCCCTGATTTTTGAATTAGTGTAGCAAAGCCTAAAAAACCTTGGGCTGGCATTGTACAAAACGTAAACTGAACAGTCAACTGCCTTTCTTTATGCCATCAGACAAGAGCTGATAGCAGAAGTATCTCCAATTACTGTTTTTGAAACCTGTCATACTTGGTTGTCGTTTGAAATTCATATGAAGCTCATGGGCCAGGAATCATAAAGGATGGGACTTTAATGAGAAAAGGCACAAGCTAAGCTACTTATGATCATGAAAAGATTTATAGTTCTCCATCGTTCAAGAGCATGCAATCACACGTGGTACACAAGCAAAAACAGAAATTGCTAGAAAAACTGACGAAGTCTGGTGGCATCTGTGGAGAGAAAGCAGAGTTAGAGTTTCGGCTCCAGTGACTCAGTTCTGAAGTAGGGTCACTTGAGCCAAAACTCTAACTCTGCTTTCTCTCCACAGATGACGCCAGACCTCGTCTAGCAATTTCTTTTTTTGTTTTGGATTTCCAAGAATCCACAGTTGTCTGGTTTTTACAGTTTAATAAAATGTTGCTTTGAAGAAGACCACACTTTTTATGCTTAAGAATTTTATGCTTTGGAAAATGCCAACATTAACATTGTCTTGCCAGTCTCCCACTGTATTAGAATCTGCAAAGATTAGGCTGTTGACAATTCACCATTTCTCAGCTATTCTTCACTGTACAACAATGAGAAAGCGAATTCTTCCCGCCCTTTCTAATTCCACTCTATGGGTCCCAGGCTATTTTACTCTTAGACATTTGAAAAGAGGTGGAGAAGATTGTGTTTTGGAAACAGTAAGGATGGTGGAAGCCAGAGTCAACAGACGTGAAGCAGGAAAAGCACACTAGGCCAGACAGCATCCGAGGAGCAAGAAAGTCAACTTTTTGGATCAAAATACTTCATCAGGACTGGGGACAGAGAGGGTAGCCCAGAAATAGAGGTGAGGTTGGGGGAGGGGAGGACAGATGGTGATAGGTGGATGCAGGTAAGGAGTTATTGTGATTTGTCAGTGGGAAGGGTAGAGTGGATAAGTGAGTAGGAAGGTGGACAGGTTAGGTCAGGTCAGGGAGCCAAGGAGTAGAGGGGAGGGTTGCACACGGGATAAGGCTGGGGGGTGTGGAGGGTTTGTGTTTTAATATCTGTACAAGAACAAAACATTCACGTCTGTTCACTCATTGGAAATGCAACTGTTCTTGACAACTGTACAATGAAATATTTGACTGTTTCAAGAAAAACTGAAGAAATAATATTTTGGTATTCTTCATACCATGCTACTAATAATTCTTGTTATGGGACACATTTTGAAACAACTTCTAAATCACACAGACCTACTCTAAAGTATAAACATGAGCCATATCTGATCCTCAGAGATCAAAATACAAATGATCTGGTATTAACGGGCATTTTCAAAAAGCCCAACAGTACCAAATATCATATCCAATATATTCCATAAAACAGGAGATGATTCATTTATCGAGTACTAAGCAGTTATTTACATAATTGACCCGATGCTGTTTGATAATATGATATCCTGCACTTAGTCACTAAAAATGACTTGAGATATGCTTATCGTATTCCTGCTCATTACATTAATGATGCACTGTGATTTGTCACAACACAGCTGTACACCAGACCACAAGACAGTGCACACACTATGTACATTAAAATGTGCTTGGTTCTCTTTTTGGTTCTGCAGAATCCCTCTTCATTATCTTTTTTGACACAATCTTCAATACAAAAACAACTGGCACTTATACAGTGTTAATAATGCAGCAAGGCATTTCACAGGAATATGCAAAATGCAATGAACAAACAAAATGCACAAATAAAAGCAAAACACTGCAAACAAAAACAAAATTCTGCAAATTTTCAAAACTAAAAAGGAATGAAGAGTAACCTATCTAAACAGAATATAGTGGGCAGAAATTCCAATCTCACTGCAGGATAACACCTAATTCTTTCAAGAAAATACTTGCAGCTATTAAGTGCTTCATCATATCCCAAAGCAACATTTCAAAGCATATGATCAATCTCTGTTGATATGCAAATTTCTTAAAGACCAATTGCAGGCTAGCATACTCCAAGGTCCACAGTAATGTACTAATGGATGCACTAACCTCTACGGTAGCCACTACAAAGGCTTGATGGGGAAAGACCAGCATCTAAACCCTCCACGATAGTATTCCCAGGGACTAGGATCCATGTGAAACCCCTCAGACTCCAGCTTTGTTATGGAATGTATATTTCAATGCAAGTTGTAAATCTGTTGCTGTAGAGTGCCAAATGCTACAATGAAAAAAACTGAACAGTTTTTCACTTCATGCAATGTTAAAAATGAATTGTTATGTAATGCACTTGTACAAATTTTAATTAAAAGTATTGTTTTGAAAAATAAATTTTAAAGACTACACCATCCCACAAGAACAAAGAGGAAAATGACAATTTGTAATGTTGGCTCAGACAAATACTGAACATGTTCTTCAAGGATTATAGACAATATTCTTAACCACTGGAATAAATAGGCCTCAGTTTAAAGTGTCATTCAAAAGGGGCCACTTGCCCACAAAGCTCTAAACCAGTACTACACTGTGTCAGCTGAGATTATGTAGCAGTTGAAATATGATCATTGATACTTCCCTCCATGTTGGTCTATTCAGAGCCATCATATGTTTTTCACCATCATTTGTCTCCTCTTCATTCAGTTAATATCCTGAGATTTGGTTTCCATGTTAACTTAAAAACGTAATGAAGGTAAACTGGTAGCCAAACATTTGTGTGAAATCTTGTAAGCTGCATTTTTTTTTTGGTTTTAATTTTAAAATCGACCTCATCAATGACTTCAGGCTATTCATTATCCCCATTGTGTTTGACTGAACTCAGCTTTCAAACTCCAGGCCTGGGCTTGAACAGCTGCTGAGTGTGACAGGAACAAGACATCTGCAACCCAGAACTTCCAAGTAATCAAATAAAGATCCAGGTTTCATACGAAAGATGAAATACTGCAAATGCAGCTTGGTATGCACCAGCTCAGTGACAAGCTGGAGACAAAACTCTGATCTCTCCCTTTTAGCTCACTGACAGCCTGCATTTTCTGCTTCTATTTCATAGTTTCAGCATTTGTAGTTTTCTACTCTTTGAATCAAACGTATGCTTTTTAATCTGAACTTTACCTCAAACATATTCCTTTGAAATTATTAACAGTGATTGACATTATGATTTTCATTACATAATAAGTGAATATAGTCATGTTGAACTATGCATAGTTATTTGCATGAGCATTTATTAATAAGATTAATATTTGATTTTATGGTTCGAGAATTGGCAAGCTGGTTTACAAGTACCGCGGGCCAAGACGGTGTCTAGGAGTGACAGCATAGTGATATAAATATTTAATTGGTGCACAAATGTTTTCCTATGCGCTAGCACCTGTGTCCAACAATGCAGAAAATGTGTAGCATTGCATCTGGCAAAGTTACTGATGACCAATACCTGTGATCATCTGCTGAGCCAAGTACAGTCTCGATATTCATTTAAAAATTCAAACAGGGAGCATCACACAACAAGAAGGCAACATTATAATCCCCCAAATTATTCTTCTGCCATCACAAACCCGAAGACACAAATAAAGACCACGAAGTTACATTCAAATTCTGATGCAACAGGCAAAAATGAATCAGGTAAAGTGAATTTTTTCAGCATGGAAGGTAGGTGGGGGGGGGGGGGGAGGGCGAGGGGGGGGGAGGGTGGGGGGGGGGAGGGGGGAGGGGGGTGGGAGTGGGGGGGTGCTGGTGGAGAGAGAGAAGGAGTGTTGCTGGGAGTGCAGAAAGAGAACCAGCTCTCTGGGTTTAAATTTAGTCAATACTTATGGAATTTAAGACTCCTCTTTCCACCATTTGCGGCCATGCTTTACAAATTTAAAGTGGGCTGTCTCCCTAGAACAAAGTGGGTTTAAGCTCCTAGCAATCTCCACAATCACCATAAAACTGTTTAAATTGGCACACATACTAAGAGGTCGCAACAGCAGGTGGAAAAGCGAACATTTGCCCTGTTATGGTTCTTTCTAAATACACAGTTCTACTTGCTGTTCCTCTTCCTGGAGCCTACTGTTGTCTCCTGATCTAACTCCTTCTTTCTAACAGAAATTTTCTAAAATAGGTATAATTCAACGTTGCATGTCACTGGTCTCCTACATGAGTCCTTAATTTGAAAAGGATATTTTAAATCAACTTCATTCCCCATCTCTCATTCTTCCAGGCACTGCATTTCTTTGGTTTTCATTACAGGAGCTCAGCACTCTGTTCAGGAAGCAAAGTTTTAGAAGCCAAACAAAAGTCACCAGCAACCTAACACTGGGAGAGGTTGTAGGGCTGCCAAAATGCGTCCATTATATAAATTAAAACAATCTCTATGAACCATTCAAATAATTGAGAAGAACAAGCTATCTTCTCAGCTCTTTTTGATCATTAAAAAAATGAGTGTGGGTAGGAAGTTAGAACAGTTATCTACTGTGTCTGACTTCCTAATTTCCAAAGAATTGCGTTTGTCAAGGTGGTTATGCTGCATCCTTAACATGACAGTATCTCAGCTTCTCTCTCCTACTGTTCTTATTATCTTCTCCTTCCTCCATTTCTATTAGGTTTTACTGATGTAACTTTTTGTTTGATCTCTTACCTTTTTCTCTTTTATTTCTCCCAAGTTTCTCTCGTTTACAATGTGCAGAATCTCAGGCCAGTTGGTATGGCTTGCAAGTGCAACTTGCAGCCTTATCCAGTTGGAAGGACAAGGGAAAGCACCATGCCCCCCATGATCTATAAGCAGTGCACTAAAGGCATTTACCATCTCCCTGAAGTTGTATTTGACTTCCCTTCAGTTGCTGGCTTTTGTGATGCTTGGAATAACTCAGCCAAAGCACAGGCTAGCAAGCCTCAGTTAAATATTTAACCTCCCAACCTGCACCAAGGAGTAGGATGGCTTTGCCTCTGTGGTGGGTGCACTGAAGTCAAATTTAAGATCTTTTAAAATTTTAACCTCTGACCTGACCTCAGCCCACCTGGTCCTGGTCTTAGAATCCAGCCCGAGTGTCAGGAAAAACCCACATTCACCTCATTCTTTTCTCATTCTCTTGCTGTCTAGATGAAGGTAACAAAGGAAAACTGCAAAGTTCGAATTTATCAGCAAGGTGCAGGCTATGATTCCATAGCCAAAGAAAAAAATCACCATCACCCATGAGACATGGTTGGCCACAAGAGAAATTTCCGTGACTTTTAATTACCCAGCGACCCACATAAAATACACAACTACCCAACACTAATTCAACTCATCTCCGAATCTGCTGAGGGGTGTACCAAAGTTTGGCACTGGTGCCACAGAGGCGCAATGGGAAGGAGTCACCATCTAAGGTTCCCCTCGTGGGGAGGCAACGGCCTAGTGGTATTATCGCTGGACTGTGAATTCAGAGACCCAGCTAATGTTCTGGGGATCCAGGTTTGAATCCTGCTCCAGATGGTGGAATTTGAATTCAATAATAACCTGGAATTAAGGGTCTAATGATGACCATGAATCCATTGTCAATTGTCAGGAAAAATTAATGTCCTTTAGGGAAGGAAACTGCTATCCCTACCTGGTCTGGACGATATGTGACTCCAGACCAAAGCAATGTAGTTGACTCTGAACTGCCCTCTGGGCAATTAGGGATGGGCAATAAATGCTGCCTAGCCAGAGACATCCACATCCCATGAATGAATAAAAAGAAAACACAGAGGGATCTGACACTGTAGAATTTCTCAGGTTGTGTATCAGACAAGAAATGTACACTGTGAACTTCAAGTCTATTAAAATTGTCGAGACACCTGAGAATGGAACACAGTGCAGGGAATAAAGTTGCCTCCATTGCGGTTTCTGTCATTTTTGAATTTGAAGCATTTTGCACTGGGGCTGTATGCCTGACATGGAATATATGCTGTAAACATTAAAGTCTGTGGCAGCGGAACATGCTGTAAAGTTAGGGCAAGGTGAATTTTCTTGTACCTCCTGTAATTTCATGTCAAAACGTTGTATAATAATAGGCTTTATAATTTTATAAATAAACTTAAAATGGAAAAAAAATCAACTCGTATTTAACTCTTCCCAGCATTGGTGTCAACCCATACTGATTATTAGCAAGCAAATAGACAAAACCTCATTCTATAACATCTCACTGTCTGACATGAGAGAGCTCAAAATGAAAACAATTTAAGGATAAACACAAGAAAACAGTAATTTATGAGAATTATCTTTAGCTTCTCTTTATTCAAAGCAAGCATTATTTATCTTTAAATGTTGACTCACACAGCCTGTGTGAGCGAAGTGGAAGTGGATTTTCAGCACGGTCAGGGTTAGAAACCACAAATCATCTGGTTAAGATTCTAAAATATCATTTTCTTCTCTTTCATTCCAGAAATCTATCAAAATATAAATTTAATAAAACATTCTTAAAATATTTTCCACAGCTTTATTGCAATCAGCATTGTTCAGGCAAGTTCCTGAAGTGGTACAAATTAACACTACAGGCCAGCTGGACCTGCCCATGTTTCAGCTTCCAGAACACAGAGGTCACAATTGTCAATTTGCTCTGTTCATAAGAACCAGGAAGTGGCTCTTTCTCAGGCAAGCCCTGGAGAAAATTATCTTATTGCAAGTTCTATATATTCTGTTTAGAAAATAAGCATAGCATTGTATGCTTGCATTTGAGCTCTCAAACTGTATTTTACCACACATCCCACAAATTGCAGCGTGAAAAAGAACGAGCAGTGATAATTAAGTAACCTAACAAGAGCGTCAATTTTAACCACAGTGAAATCTCACATTGAATAAAGAGCTTTTTTAATTTCCGTCAGCTGCAGGCACATGCTGGCATAAATAAGCAGTACACGTGTGCGATCTGTAGTCTAAAACAGGACCTTTATTTTGTAAGCAAATTTTTTGGCTTGGTTTTAAAACAATGGAGGTCTGAACTTGTACTGTCATGTTTTCCACTGATGCTTTTTTCATGTGCTCACGTTAAGTCATTAATAAGTTAGTCTTGTATCAAATAAAGAAATGGCTGTTAGTAATTTGAAATACCAGAACTGAAGACAACTGAACACCCAGTCCTTATATTTTGTAACAGTACATTTCAAAATGTAATTATTTGAGTATAGTATGCTGCCATCTACTTACAGAATTACTCATCTTATGCTGTAACAAAACCTGAATGTTTCAGTCTGTAAATCATCAATTTTATAAAATACTGTGGAAAAGCACGACTTCACAGGGTTAAACAAGGACCAGCTCTAGACTAACAAGATGACTGAAGTTTAGTCACACACAATATAACAAAATAAATGTAATATTCCTACCTCAGGATCCTAGCCAAGTTGAAAAGAAACGCAAAGAATCATAAACATCCATGATTCCAGGTAGATGAATGGATCTTCTCAGCTAATCCAAATAATGCTTTTAAAACATTTCACATAGCAAACAATAAATCTGCATGAGGTAGAGTCTAAATAACAAAGAGGAATTTCACATCCTGCCTGCCATGTCTATACAGATCTCAAAGTGACAGTTCAGTCCGAGTTCAGAAGGGAATAACGGAGGGTAATCTTGTTCAATAACAGCAGGTAGAAGGTACACTACTTATCCAATTACTTAAACTGCCAGTTCACAAACGATGCACAAAGGGTCATTCCAGTCTCAGCTTCCAAAAGCAGCAAGAATAAGCTCAAATGGAGAAGTGAAGAGGTAGGCAATGCACCACATGTTTGTAGTAATGCACAAATCTCTCTCTCCCCAACCCTGGACACTTGGAAATAAAGCAGACTGCCTCCCCCTGCTGTGCAGGGCATTCAGGACAAACCAAACAAATGTAAATCAAGCTCTTCGAGAGAGAGAGAGAGAGAGACAGAGAGGGAGAGACGAGCACAGAGAACCATACAGGAGCTCAATCTGGGCTATTTCATGCATCAAACTCAGGCTCAAAGAAATTATAAAGGGACTCTGTAAAACTCCACAGTGATTCATTTTTATATTTTGAAACAGCCAGCTTTAACAAAGCAGTTTTAAGTCAACTCAAGAAGCTCACAAGACAAGATCAGCTGGAATGAAGAAAACTTTTTAGACCAAATTAGCTCGTCCTCTCTGACTCACCATTTTCCCCTGCAGCTTTAACCTCCATCTAAACATGCAGGCTTAACATTTCCTCTGAAGGACAGCATTTCTGACAGTTCAGCATTCAGCCTAGATTAGAACTTCAAAAACTGTGTGCAACCTTGGGGTGTGAGAGCTGTACCAATAGAGCCAAGCGGAAAGTGATCACTCTTAAACTAGACTTAGCATTCAATTGCAATTCTGCCCTCTATATCAAGATCCAAAAATATAACTCCTCTTTAGCAGAGATTACGTGCCCTTCTCCCAAAAGTGGGACCACTTAAAAATCAAAAATAAAGTCAAGCTCTACTCATTTATTTAAAAAAGCAGGAAGGAGAGCGTGAGTAGGCAAAGCTGCAAAGTGTGCAGCACCAGGATTTGAAATTAGAAATAAACCATCTGTGTAGTGTAATACATCCCGTGGTTATATAGCTCAAAGGTTTAAAAGCTAATTTGTTTACTGAATGGATAGATGCATATCATATTGAAAGATACTTTATATTTTTGGATTTGAATTTCAAAACAGAAGTAGATGGGTGTGGGTCAGTTCTGCGAAGGCATTTTTGTTTTTAAAAAAGGCCCTGAAGTCATTTGGGCAGTGTCCAACTTGAACTTTTTGCAATGTACTTCCGGATACTTTATGAAATAACTAGATTTTAGCAAATGAAACATCATCTTGAACTGCTGAGAACCATAAGACTTATTGCCACAATATTGCAAAAGCCACAAAACAAATACTCATGGAGTTTCTGACAAAATACAAATCCTTAGGAATATCAACAATCTGGAATACAAATCTGCAAATTCAAAATTTAGGTGAAAATGCACAAATAAAATAGTTGCAATTTATAGTTTCCATCTGATAAAAGCTTCTACTGTTTGAAATGGGATTTCAAAAAGCATTTCAACCCGGAGCTCGCAATTGGATTTCAGGCATGATTTAAATTGCTTGGCATTTCACGGTTACTGTTACAAGAACGCGGCCTGGACTGGCAAACGTTATTTATGAGGAAAGATTGGATAAGCTGGGACTGTGGGTTGACTTGAGATGGGTAAAGAGAGGGACCGAATTCAGGATAAATCGGAATAGGCTCTTTACCTTAGCAGAGTGATCAAAAACCAGGTGGATGTCAAGAGGTTGAAAGGAATTGCTCAAAGAACTAGAGGGGAGAAGAGGAAACATTTCTCTTCTGGAGGGCAGGATTGTAGAAATTCACTACCCAACAGTGTGATGAGAGACAAAAACTCTAACCACACTTGAAAAGTCCTTGAATTCTACTTGAACGGCTCTGACCTGCACAGCTCTCAAGAAAATGCTGGAAGCCAGATAGATAATCATTCAGAGCTGAATGGCTTCCCACAGTGTACCAAGACTTAATCTTTTAAATAATGATGGCATAGATCAGATGATAAAGGATTTGCACATTCTTTTGTCAAATTGGCACCAAGAAAAAGGACAAAAGGCAGCTCACTATTCAGGGTGAAAGGATCTAAATTTTGATCTGCCATTTGGTGTGATAACTTAGGGAGAATCTTCACAGCTAGCATCAAGCAGAAGAATAAGTAGATAGCACATCCCAAGTGTGGATAAGCTAGTCCCAAAAGGTTGTACCCACAGCAAACACTGAACACTACATTATTTATAACAGCATAGTGAAATAAACAGATTTTAATTTCCAGCCTTCCATTTAGCAAGGACCAAAGCGTTGGTCATTCCTGGACAACTTCAGGAAAAGTGCACGAGAGCAGAACATCCATTCCTATGGGGCCATTTCGCAGTCTCTCAAAAGCTTTCAACTCAGGTGAAACAAATTCCCCTTTTGGAAATACTACAGCAATGTGGATGACCAGATAAAAATCATCACATCTCCTACAATATTCAAATAACACTACTATGCAATGGATCCACTTGACACCTTCTCCATCAAAGTGCTGTCAAACAGGATTATATCACCACACCAACACTATTCTTGGTATTTATCACAGCAATGCTAGGACAGGTTCCACGGGGCTATGGTAGTAACTCTGATGGTAGCAGCACTGATTGTCAATTCTTCAACTTTTACTAAGACAGTAACAATGTCTGCAAAAGAACTACAGTATGTTGATGATATTTGAGTTAGTGCTCAGTCTGAAGAATAATGGCAGAGTTGACATTCATCAAAACCCATGAAAATATGGAATTTGCCTTGAAGGCCAGAAAGATAATAAGTCCTCGACATAATAAATCCAACGCCTTCAATTCAGATTCAGGATGTAGAGTTGGAGAACATTGCTCAGATCCCATATCCTGGAAATTGTCTACTCCAAAAAATTGACACTGATGAACAAGGACACCCGAGAATCCAACATATTGGTTCAGTCTGTGCTAAATTATGTACTCGAGGTTAAGAATCCTGACATCAGACCCAACGCAAGTTCAGTCTATCGGACAGTAGTTCTCCCCATGCTTCTCTATAGGAAAATAACATTTGAGCGCCTTATAGACATTAACTTTTGTGAATCAGTGGAAGAACAAAAGAACAACCATGAAGATTCTCCACATCACAGACATACCAAATGTAAAAGTCATGATAATTTCACAACTTAAGAGAAATAGATGGGATAGGCTGCTTGAATGTTCGACTCATGATTGCCCAAACTGGTGCTCTACTCAGAGCTTTACCAAGGAACCCATTTACACAAGGGGGCTAAAGGATATATTTCAATGACAATCTCAAAGCTTGTATGAAGCTCTTCTGCTCTGTTATGATCAACAAATAGCTGGTGCCCAATCACCACCAGCATGGTGCTTAATCTTCAAACACAATGTCAATTTCTTTAAAATCAACAGGAGCGATCACTGGAATAGATCAATGAGAGAGACTGGGAAAAAAGAATGCAGCTGCTCAAGTCAACAACCTGCCACCACCCTTACCAACTGACAACCCAATGTTCTCTCTGGAAGAGGAGCAGCAAAGGTTAAGGTGGGGCTTATCAAACATCTGAAAACTCTCACCCAAAACCCAAAATCGCATAACCATCTGCAATCATTCTCAATACAAAAGAATGACACTGTGAGGGAGGTCATTCCTGACTAAACGGATACCCTGGACCCAATCCTACTTATATGAAAGCACTAATTGGCTGGAGCACAACCAGACCAGAAATCCAACACAGCCTGACATCTGGCAAACATCAGACCTGGAATAGGGCATTGCTTGGGGCTCATTATTAATTTGTCCTGCAAGGAATAGTTTAATAATTCCACAGAATAATATAAATAATGCATACAAAGATCAAAGACAGGCATATATCAACCCATTGGGACATATTATGACACATCTCCATGGCAGGTGGGACTTGAGTTCAGACCTTCTGGTCCAGGATAAGAACACTACCATTGTGTCACAAAATCCCTTTGTATTGACAATGCTTTCAGCAATATCTAGCGGCATAAAATAGACATTCCAGCCAAAAATACAAATTGGTAACCAAAAGCAGAATCAGAATACAAAATAATGGGAATTAGGATTCTTCTTCTGGCATTATCTCAACAGTTAATATTCAGGTAAGGGCATTGATAAAGAAGTGATCTATGACATGGTATTCACAGCACAGAATCCATCCGAGGCTCCAATACTGTAGCCCAGGCTCTCTAAATCACCACGGTCATTGAGTCCAGAACAATGTTGGAAATGTGAGACCACTGATAACTCCATAAGATGTAGATGTGCCATCAAACCATGAAGACACCACCAGCATAACTGACCTTGTCTTCACTTGCCATAATACATACATGTTAACAAATATGCTTGGTAATACTGTCCAATTTCTGCCTCCTTGTCCTAGAGGAATAAGGTCTTTTTGTAAAAGGTCCTTACCAGTTAGCTCACTACACAGCAAACTCTAGGGTGAATGCAAAATTGTTGAACAAGTTCAATCTGACTGCATTTGAAAACGATGCTGCGAGTTAGTTATCAACCCTTTATTAAAGCAAATATTTGAGCTGAGCCTTTCAGAAAACTGAACTCTGAGCCCTCCTAACATTAAATGTTTGGTTTTATTTCATGGAAGTATACTCTACGCCTTTATAGTTAACCAATTTGTCTCCTATCCTGCAGCACTACCGTAGTTGTGTCATCAAGAAATTTACTTTTTGCTCCAGACACACTTCTTATGTTTTCTGCTTAAGATTAAAATGGAAGCAAATTACACCTAGAAACCAAACTGACTTAAGTTTGAAATCTGTTAATTCTGAAAACTCACTGGAGAAAATGGCATTTTTCTGGAAAGTGCATGAAATAACATTGCACTGAACAGTAACAGCAATGACACTGCATGCTGAAGTTGTGAAGATCTCTGGTAAAAATTAAGCCAGTGTTTTTGTATACTCAGATACAAAGTAATACTAAACATGCCTCTAATACATTCAGGAGTAGATGACAGTGCACACAAATTTTTTTGTCAAAATAAATGGAGTCAAATATTCTCATCATTTCACTAAAGTAACTTAAATCTTTAAAATACTGCACATTTTCAGATTTATAACATCTTGTCAGCTCCATCTTTGATGACTCTAGCTGCTGGTAACACTGGACATGTCAGATTTTAGAACAAAACCTGACTTGACAGATCATGTGTTTAACCATTGCGATAATCAACTTCAGAAAG